TGTCTCTTCCCCCTTAGAAGTTCTTGGCAGGCCAGCCTGCTAGTGTTGGTGGGGCTCAGCCCTCTGAGTAGGCCCAGAGAGATTTCCCATCAAAAGCCTTGAGGGACTCAGTGTTAGGGTGCTTGCTGAGCAAGCACAAGACCCTGGGTTCAGTCCCCAGCATTCAGTAAAGGAAAATGGTCATGAGAGTGAACTTGGACATGGAACCTCTAGCATGTGTCAAGTCTTTCGCCAACAGTGTGACTCATGAGAGGCCTGAGGAAGAACTACTCAACCTGGCTCCTCATGGGTGCCTGACACTGTGAGATATTCCATGCTTATTATTTCAAGCTGTACATTTGGGGAGAATTTATTCTGCATCAGCAGATGAGTGAGAAGACCAGTCTCCCTCTTAGGACCTAAGGAGAGAGTAAGGACAGACATGTCAGAAGGCAACATGCAGGCTCACACTCCAGCACTGTTACACTGGATTCCTCCCTAGGTAGTAGCTTCTTCTCTGCTCTTCTTTCAGGTCACATTGGCTACCATGGTTCCTCTGTTCTTCCTGCCTAAAACCCTGCTGCATCCTCATCAGCAGCTTCTGAGGTAGACCCACCCCATTGATGACTGTTTTCTGTGTAAGCTCCCAGGCCACATGCCAGTCAATGCTGAGCCAAACCAGGTCTGAACCAGACCAGCTGGATGGTGTCCAGCCTCTCCACCAACACAGCTTTGGTCCTTGGTGACCCATACCCAGTCTGGCTGTGAGGACACAGTAACCTTAGAGCAGAAGAGTCAACTGTTGAGGTCACCTGACTCCAACCCTGAGGCTGTACCCCTGCTCTGTGGCATCCCACGGAAGGATCATCTGCTGTAGCTGGTGGGATCAGTTGTGAATCAAGCATGTTTCCCTTCCAGGACACCATAGGGCTCTGACTTTAGGGGTGACACCTGTGCCTGCTGCCATTTTGGTGATGACCATTACTGCCCATTTACTGACTGGGTCTTGCAACTCCTGTGTGCTTCAGAGACCTCTTGTGACTAGAGTTTTGCTCTGAGGTTTTGATAGTGGGGTCTTCTGTGCATCTTTCCATAGTGACTCTTCATGCTGGGTGTGCTAAACAGCACCCCTCATCATCCCTCCAGCTGGTTCCCAATCTCCATCCCCAAACCATCTGACTCTGAACCTCTGTTAGCCAGGGCCACACCATTTTAAAGCTCCTCCATTTTGGTTGAACTGTGACAATTCTGGAACTTAAAATCATTTGGTTTCCAGAACTAAAATAATTTATTTCAATAGAAATATAGGGCCTTGCCCTCAACATCCTAATTCCTAGGCTTGAGCCAGGAAGATGGATTTATATTTTTATTTATTTATGTAGATTTGTGTATATGCAGGTGTGTGGGTGGGAGAGTATACATATGTGTGCAGGTGTCTCTGGGTGCACTTGTAAGTATCATGGCTGTCCCAGGAGGCTAAGAATGAGTGAGTGTCTTGGGGAGCAGCTGCTGTGTGTGCAGAAGCCCTACACAACAGCCCTTCTCCCATGCATGACACACTGGTCGAGCCTTAGAGAAGGAAGTGTGAGTGCCCCCTAGAGGTCCAAATGGAGGTCTCAGGTGATGTTCAAACTGAGAATGAAGGACAGGAAGAGGTCCAGGGACATTCAGGGTACGGTGTTAATGGCTGTCACACTATGGTGCCAGTTATGAGAGACATGACCATGTGTCTCTCATAACTGGCCATGTGTCCAAGGCTCTTGTCCCTGAACAGCCGGGACAGCCCCTTCCTTTCCATGTTTTCCTTCATGCTCCCCACATGGGTCCTGGCCAGTCTCTACTTTCCTTTTCACCACATCTTGTCTGTTTCATGTTCACCTCCAGCTGTCCCTCTGTCCGCAAGTTCCCTACCTGTTCCAAATTTGCTGTCTACCAAAGTTCCACTCCTTCTTCAAGGCCATCTCCATGTTGTTCTTTGGCAAAACCTTCAGTTCATCTCTCTGAACTGCTATTCTGTACATCCCAGAACCATGCGGCAGCTGAGTCCAATAACTTCTAGTAAGTTCTAAGACAACACTAATGTGTGATATACAATTGAAGTCCCATGCACGGCTCCCCCGCCACTAGGCCCCCACACAGTGTTTGCTTTGTGTCTGCTTGCTGGGTAAACTTTTGGAAGCACTGGACCTTGGTCTCATACATGACCCTTAGACAGGACTCCTCTCTGATCTCCAACAGACTGGACAAACAGGGAGAGACACAATTTGCCAAGAATTACTAGACATTATGCAAGGGACAGGCATGAGGGGGTGGGATGACCCCAGGATAAGTCCTGATTGTGGACAGCCACTCATTCAGCATAATCATTGACAGGATGTCTGGATTTGGACATAGCCACATGCCCTGCAAGCCAGCACGTATGTGCCCGACATCAGAGTCTGGGCCTCTGCTGTCACCAGCCATTTCTTAGTGTGAAACAGAGACAGTGACAGACCTTGCTGAGTAGTGAGGAATGAATGTGATCGCAAATGAAAAGTGCCCAGCACAGACTGGCACAGAGAAGTTTTTAGTATGCCAGTGGGCAGTCAGAACTTAAGGGTTCATTCCTAGCAACCACAACAGGAGACTCACACCTTTCTGAACTCCAACTCCCGGGGATCTGATGCCATTTCTGACCTCGGCAGGCACCTGCACGCATGCAAGCACACTTGTCACGCATGGGCACACACACACACACACACACACACACACACACACACACACACACTCACTCAGACAAATAAAAGGGAAATCAATCTTTTTTTTTTTTTTTTTTTTTTTAAGTGCTGGCTTCGTGTGATAGCTAACCTTGGTTGTCAACTTGACTGCATCTGGAATCAACTAAAACCCAACCTGCTGAGCACACCTGTGATGACTGGGTGAGATTGTCTGAAGCAAGAAGACCCGTCCTAAATCTAGACCACACCTTCTAGTGGCAGCCCAGATAAAAGGACATGGAAGAAGGAATCTTTGCTTTCTACCTGCTTTCCCTCACTCTCATTGGCATGTGGATGTCCTATAACTAGGCCATTTCTTCACCCATATCAGAACCAGCTTCTTGAAGATTCCAAGGTAGACTGATGACCAACCACTCTCCAGGAGTCCTCCAGGTCTCCCATGCTAGAATGGAACTGCTGGACTGCCAGATTCCCAGTCTCTCCAGTGTGAGACAGTCATTATTGGACTACCAGAACTGCATCCTGTAAACCTCTAATAGAACACACACACACACACACACACACACACACACACACACACACACACACAAACTAGTTCTGTTCTCTTAGGGAACCCTGACTAACACACACCTTGTTATTTTCAGTGGATACCCCTCTTCAATATGATTCAGGGATCAGAGCACTGAGCACAGCCTTATGGGAAACATGGTAGTGATATGCACGTTGGGGTGGGCAAAGTACTCTGCTCTCGGGGCAGCTCACCAGGGGTCAGTTTAAGGTTTGGTGGAGGAGTTGCTCACCCATTCACTCATCTGCTCTTTGATGTGCCAAATTCCCTCTTTGACAGAGGACAGGAGGGAACTCACCTGAGTCAATCCAGGGTGCGGAGACTGAGACACACCTGTACTCTGCCTTCATTCTATGTCCTCAGCTGAATCTAAGGTTGAGGGTAGCTGTGGGGTCATACTCCCCATCTGTTCTGGTTTAGATGTAAAATGTTCCCTACAGGTCTCTGAACACTTGGACCTTGGCTGGCAAGGCTGTTTTGGGAGTTGTGGGAAACTTTGGGAAACGCGACATAGATGGAAAAAGTGGATAGCTGAGGGATTGGCCTTGGGGTTTATAGCCCAGCCTTCCTTTCTGTCTCACATCTGCTTCCTGGCACATTCTGATGTGAGCAAGCAGCCTCACACTTCTGCTGCCACAGCTGAGAGCTTCCCCTGCCTCTATGCCTTCCCTGCCATGATGAACACTTTCCTCAAACCATAAGCCAAAAGGAACTCTTCAGTTGCTTCTTGCTAGGTATTTGTTGCAGTGATGAGAAAATAACCCATGTACCATTCATCTTGGCTCTATCATGTGTAAGCTATGTGACTGGGTAAGCCACCTAGATCTCAGCAAGCCTTCCTTTCTTTGTCAGTCAAAAGGGAATGATGGTGCCATCTTTCCTCAGAAGCTATTGTGATGGGAGAAGTGCCTAGTACCATCTTTGGAACCTAGGGAGTGTCACTATCCCCAGGGCTGTCTCCATAAGGACAATGAGACCTTTGCATAATGCTTTATTGCTATTACCAAGGTGAAAAATCAGCAAGTCAATCTACCATCCATGTTTCACTGTTTGCAACAGGCCTCTATCATCCCACCCCAGTCAGGTTCGCTAGTTGATACCTTTGTTCATAGTGAGACATTTCTACCCTGATGCTCAAGCGTCCTACTAAACCAAGTTCTATCAACCATGACTGACATGGAGCAGCCAACTCTGTGTAATATTTCACTATCAGTGGATGAACTTCTTGCTCTAATCCTTCACTGAATACACAGAGAAACAAAGGTCCAGAGAGAGCCATTGTCATTCCCATGTTACATAGCTATTAGTGCCATTCCAGAACCTCAGTCTAGTGACCTAACCACAGTGAACTGGTAGTTGGGGCTGATAGGTGGGAGACAAGGCCCAAAAAATGTGCTTCCTGATGACCTCTCCCTATAGTGACCAATCTCTTATAAGGTTCTGTAGTGATAGACTGAGCAAAAATGGCCTGGGGTCTAGGCATGATGATGACACAAATATGGAGGTGGGACCTTGGAGAAATCAACTGGCCTCTTTAGGCTCAGTGCCAATCAATGGTGAAAGATGAGGGCAAGAACACATACCTTGCAACCATGATCAAGGAAGCAGGCATTAGTATAGTTATCTTATTATTTATAACACCTTGTTAGTTAATCTACTCTACACAAGTCATTAGCTACCAACAGATGGATGGGCTGTAGTATACTCATGGCTCCCTCTGGGTAAGCCTGTGGGTTTCAGAAAGAGTCCCTCCCACCTCTGGGCTGAACCACTCGGCCAAGGAAAAGGAGATGCATGTTCTCTTCAATGGCAAACAGAAAGGGTCTGTTGAATTCTATCTTCAGGGTCACCGGTCTAGCAGATCTGAATGTAAAGAGCTCTCCTGTGGCAGCAGACGCTATGGTTCCTGACTCGTCTACCTTCACCACGGATTTGTGCAGCATCTGCAGGTAGAGAGTGGAACTGTGGTGATGCATCATGATAAAAATATTACTTATCTTTCAAAGGAACTGGAACTTTTGCTGGACCTCACAGCCAGAGTTAATAATATACCCAGAGGTCACTTAACACTGTTATCTACTGTGTATTCAGCCTGTTTGTTTGGTCTGCTTTTAAGAGAACAATGCAATAATCAACCTCATTTGCCTTAGATTCTTCATGCAATCTTAAATTATGTACTCTTCCATGCTCCTGATCCAGAGCAAGGCATGTGTGTCATTTGGTGAGAACAGAAGATACAGAAGTTGAAAGTAATCTAAAATGAAATCCACTTGTGGATATCAGTTTATAAACAATGATGTTTGTAGTACTGTCTGATGTCTGGGTCAGTTGGCTCAGTCGGGGTCAGTGATGTAATCCCTTATAAAACTCTGTTAAATATTTCTGTAATGTTTTCTGTGCTGTGTATAGAGCAAGCCTCTTTGTCAGGGACACACACACACACACACACACACACACACACACACACACACACACACGGGGAGGGGGGGATAACAAGACAGCACTCAGACAGACATAGATTCCTCCAAGGCCAGGTGGCAAATGTGGGTTCCCATTGTAAGAAGAACAAGACACAAAGGAAAGTCTTTGAATGTCTAGGGGAAAGGAATCATAATGGGACAGAAAGGAATGAGCTGAGGTGAAACAGAATGGAATATGGTGGGATGGGACTGAACAGGATCAGAAGTGATAGAATGGGATAGAACAGCATGGTATTTAATCAGATGGAATGGGATGGGGTGGGATGGGATGGAATGGGATGGGGTGGGATGGGATGGGGTGGGATGGGGTGGGGTGGGGTAGGATGGGAATGGGATGGGATGAGATGGAATTGGATGGGGTGGGATGGGATGGGATAGGGTGGGGTGGGATGGGATGGAATGGGGTGGGGTGGGATGGGATGGAATGGGATGGAATGAGGTGGGATGGGATGAGGTGGGATGGATAGGATGGGAGTAAGGTGGGATGGGATGGTATGAGGTGGGATGGGGTTGGGTGGGATGGGATGGGGTGGAGTGGGATAAGATGGGGTGGGATGGGATGGGATGAAATGAGGTGGGATGGGATGAGGTGGGATGGATAGGATGGGAGTAAGGTGGGATGGGATGGTATGAGGTGGGATGGGGTTGGGTGGGATGGGATGGGGTAGAGTGGGATAAGATGGGGTGGGATGGGATGGATAGGATGGAACAGGATGAAATTGGGTGTGATGAAATATAATGGACTAGGCTGAGATGTGATGAGTGAGATGGGGTAGGATGGAATGTAATTTGTTGGAAATGGGATAGAATAGGGTGGGATCCAATGAGTTGGAGTGAGGTGATATAGAATAGGACAGAACAGGGTGTACTAAGTTGGAATGGGATGGAATAGACTGAGATGGGGTGGGATGGGGTGGGGTGGGGTGGGATGGGATGGGATGGGATGGAATAGGGTGGGATGGCATGGTAATTTCTGAAAGCAGGTGCTCAGGAGCATCTAGACTCACCTCAGACAACTTGATATTGGGGTAGTCAGTAATGCCAGACAGGTCAGCATGGGTAGTAAAGATGTCCCTAATGCCCAGCTTGGGGAGTATTTTCTCCAGTTGATAGGTGCCCTCAATGGAGAACTTGGGGAGGTAAAGGTTCAACTGTCTGGAGAGAGTAAAGGCCATTCTTAGACAGCATGAGCTTGCTGAGAAGTCCTCAGCACCCTCTCTCTGTGGCGACACAGATTTTATGGAACCTCCACCTCTGCTGGAGTTTTCCATGCTTTGTGCTTAGACTTGGGCTATCTACTCTGGTGTCACCCCAGAATCCCAGTTTTCCGGGTCTTATCCCTCAAGCTGGGCCAGGTCCTGGGCTGAGGACTTCACAGGAAGTCTTTAGGTCTGGAGACAGCTCACTGCCTGAGGAGTCCTCCCACCATCACTGTGTGGTCCTGGATCATGTGTCTCCCCAGGCCTGGGTAAAGGGATGTGGACCCAGAATGACTTAGAAAGTACCTCTTTCTGGCTGTAGTAAGCCAGTTCATCAGTGCTCTCCCGTTCAGGCCCTTCTCCACCTGCTGCATCTTGCCTTCGCTGGGGAGAATAAACAGAGCACTGGCATTGCCTTGGTAAGGGATCCTCACCACCGTGCAGGAAATACTTTGGTCCAGGATATAGTAGTACTCATCTTTACGGTTCATCATGGGCACCTGTATGGTCTCCTTGGGGGTCACATGGAAATCTTTCTGGTGGGTGTTTTGGTCACTGAAGGCTGTCTCCCACTTGGCTAAACATGGGGTAGGAAGGAAAGCAGTGGGTAAAAATGAGAGAGCCTTGGCTGTGCCTAAAGAGTGGAGACAGCCCAAAGAGTGTCCCTACAGAGTGACCTCAGCAGCAGGAGCAGCCACATCTATTGGCTTCAAAGGCCAAATCCCCTCCGGACTCTGTGTCTGTCTGCATTGCCCCAGTCAGTTCACCCTATGCAGCAAGGAGCAAGGGGAGGGGCCGGCTCATCCACAAGGGGAGGGCCCAGACCACCAGGGCAAACACTACCACTACCTTGTTTTCAGGGGAGGTGCAGGGGCCACTCCCCTAAGTGCTGCAGCTGGTGAGGAACAGGGACAGCTCTCCCACTCTCATGACCTCAGGGCCAGCTCTTCCACCTGTCACAGGTGGTCACACCAGGCTCTGGGGCAGCCTGGACCTTTTGCATGCCTGTCCTGTATTCCCAAACTCTTGACATAGTGGTTTGAAGGAGAATGGCCACTACAGGCTAATATGTTTGAATGCTTGGTTCTCTGTTGATGGAATTGTTTGGGGAAGGATCAGGAGGTGTGGCCTTATTGGAGGAAGTATGACATTGAGGGTGGGCTTTGAGGTTTCAAAAGCCTACACCAGGCCCACGCATTTTCTCTTTCTACATCATGCTTGTGGATGACATGTAAGCTTTCAGCTATGGCTCCAACATCGAGTCTGTCTGCCTGCTACCATAAAACCTGAAACATTACCCTGAAAGTGTAAGCAAGTCCCACTTAAGTGCTTTCTTTGATAAGTTGCCTTGGTCATGGTGTCTCACCATGGCAATAGAAAAGTAACTAAGACTTGCCTTCAGAAGACCTTGACCCCTGTTCCCTGCCCTTCTAACCCTGATCAGGTCCATTTCCAGGTTCTAGTGGGTTTGGTATCAGTGTTGTTTTGTCATAATGGCTATGATAAGGGCCAGCTGCTGTCTGGTGAATCACTCAGTCTTGTAAGGAGATTGTCTTATGGCTTCTTCCCTTCCATCCAGCTGGCACCTGGATGAGTTGTCCTTCTGTGGGGGAGGGAATGCTATCTTTCGATGAAAGCATAAAAGAGAGGAAGTTCAAGTTTGAACCTAAGGCTTACCTTTGAAGAAGATGTAATTTATCAACACCATGACATGGGTGCTGTCGAGATCCTTGATCAAGTCTACAATATTGCCTTTGGTCTTCTTGGCCACATAGTCATTGATCTGCTTCTTAGTCATTTCAGGGTTCCCAAAGTCGGTAGAGAAAGTATCTGCCATGTACAGCGTCTTCATGGTACTCAGGAAGCTGTGCTGAATACGTACTGCTGGGTCTGTAAAAAGGGCACTTCCCAGGTTCAGCTGGAGACCATTTGTAAGCTGGCTGAACCTCTTCATAAGCTGTTGGTAGAACTTGTGGAACTCGTCCTCTTGCTGGAGGCTGAGGCCCAGGCCCTCCAGGATCTGGGTCTTAGTGCGGGGGCCAGTCCCCAGAGAGAGCAGGCTTAGGCTCATGACCACGCTCATGGGAGAAAAGAAGACATTCTGACCAGGGGCTTCAGAAGCCAAGGCCATGTAGAGGTTGAAGACAAAGTCCTTGCTTCCGGGAGTTAACCCAGCACCCACAGAGGACTTCTTGCCCTTCTCCTCCTGGGAGCGGGAGCGGTGGCGGGAAGCCACCCCAAGGTTGAAGAGCAGCAGGCACAGAATGGCGAAGAGCTTCATCATGGCAGCAGTTCTGAACAGAAGAATAGGAAAATGTTCTCAGAAAGGGAAAAGCCAGGCGTCAAAATGAGAGAGACAATGGAAGTGCCCATCAAAGGATGTCCCCACTTACCCTCCAAGGGGATAAGGAAGAGGCTAGGGCCACGAGGCTGCAGAGAAGTGCTCTAGAAAGGTCAGGTGAAGCAGCCAATGGCTCAAGACAGACTTGCAGACCACCATGCAATGGAGTTAAAAAAAAAAAAAAAAACACCAAAAATTTTCTCATAGTGTTTTAAGTAAGTTTAGGATTTTGCATTGAGCCTCATTCATGAGTCCTTGGCTGTAGCTTGGACAGGCATGCCTAGTGTCTCTGCCCCATCTGCCCACATCCTCAAACCCACCAGGTCCCATAACAGCAGGTGTACTCACTCTGTCACTTGGTTGAGTGTCACGGTGGCAGTCTACCTGTCTTAGGAGAGGACAGAAGGCAGACTAAATAACAGCCTGCAATTGTCACTGACCACAGAGGCTCTGACCCCACCCATCTCAACTCCACCCCATTGAGAGCGGGGCTGATCTAAGGCATTTGAGGAGGTCCTGATAAAGGACAAAAGGGACCCAGTTCTATGTCCTTGCTCAGGAGTGGACTTGGCAAGACCAGTCTGGGCCTGAGTCTGGGGCCACAAAAGAGTTAAAGTTTCCGTTCCAGGGACTTGGCTTTTTCCCCTGAAGAGACTGCAGTTATCAGTCCCAAGGCTGCTGTGTGCTCCGTCTGTAATGTTCTTGAGATACCCTGTTCCCTTTGTGCAACATTGTTTGACTAGCTCCCCTCTGACTTAGTCTCATTATATGGTAGTTTCTGCGGGCTCTGTCTCATTTCTTTCCCGGAAAGAGTATATAAGACACTGTACTTCATCAGAAGCTTGCTTGGCATAGGATGTAGATAGAAAGACCTCCTGATTCCAAACTTTATCTTCCCTATCTTCTGTTCTCTTTATCTTCTGATCTCCTGTTCCTCTCTCTCAGGATCTTGTCACCGAAGACTGACCTGCTGGTCCAGGTCAAGTCGTGACTGAACAGGGACACCTGAATATGAGAAAAAGAGTAAGTATGGCCATAATACATAGATAAACGTAAAAAGAGTCAGGCCAGAGAGATCTCCTAAAGGAAGAGAGAAAAAGAGTAAGTATGGCCATAATACATAGAAAAATGTAAAAAGAGGCCAGAGAGATCGCCTGAGGGAAGAAGTACAAACATCAAGAGTAGAACATGGGAGAGCAAACTTCTTAAGGCCCTAGTGGTGGTTTGAAAGAAAATAGCCCCCGAAGACAGTGGCACTATTAAGAGGTGTGGTCTTGTTAGAGTAGGTGTGGCCTTGTTGGAGTAGGTGTAGCTTTATTAGAGTAGATGTAGTCTTGTTGACGTAGGTGTAGCCTTGTTAGAGTAGGTGCAGCCTTGTTGAAGTAGGTGTGGCCTTGTTGGAGTAGGTGTGGTCTTATTGAAGTAGGTGTAGCCTTGTTGGAGTAGGTATAGTCTTGTTGGAGGAAGTGTGTCACTGTGGGGGTGGGCTTTGGGTCTCCTATGTTCAAGCTCTGTCAAGTGTCACAGTTCAATTCCTGTTGCCTGCAGATCAAGATGTAGAACTCTAAGCTCCTTCTCCAGCACCATGTCTTCCTATATGCTGCCATGTCCTGCCATGATGGTAATGGACTGAACATCTGAACTGTAAGCCACTCAAATTTTAAATGTTTTCCTTTGTAGGAGTTGCTGTGGTCATGGTGTCTCTTCACAGCAATAGAAACCCTCACTAAGACAGGCGTATTTTTTCCTTTGAATGCTTTGTTTACTTCTGTATTCTAGTTCCTATAATGTGCTAAAATGCTTATAAAAGTTCTTTATTTTCATTTAAAAAAAAGTCTGGGCTTGGTTCCCTAAAATAAGGTTTTACAAGTTTGAAGACATGGAAACATGTAGGCAAAAGTTTAAAGACAAAATATCATCCATGAGGTCCACCTGAGTTTCATATTGACTGATTTGTGCTGTAAAATTTGATTAGAGTGTGCTTAGATACACAGTGTGAAGGTGATTCAATTGGAATCCCGGGAAATCTGGTCATAAATCTACTCCAAAACGGGCTGGGAGACAAAAGATAAAAATGAAAAGTCAAAATATCGAGATAAAAGGTTCTAAGGACAAAAAAGTGACACCAATTCTTAAATTACTTTGGCTTCAAGATGCCTCAGAGTATGAGGAGAAGGTGTTTTTGTTTGTTGTTTTGCTTTGGTTTGTTTGTTTTTTGTATTTCGTTTTTGATGATGTAGGTTGAAAATTACCCAAAAGTAGCTCTAACACTTGTAGCTGAGCCAGTCTTCCTCCTTTATCATAGACAGGATTAGTAGATCCCACATTAAAGACTTCCGTCCATTTGCAGAAACCCAAGGAGCTGGGACTCCCTGACAAAGCATTTTGAACGAAAAAGCCTGCTTGTTTTTGTTTTGTTTTGTTTTTTCTATATCCCTCTCCCCCACTACAGCAGGGGATTTTACAGCAGAGGTGTGTGGGTGGGGTGGGGGTGGAACAGTCTAAATTCACTGCAGTAACTGCACAGACTTCAGAGTCCCGGCTCAGATAACAAGAGAGTGCGCTGGCTCCTAGGCACCACGGTCCCTCAAAGGCCTGCCTTTGCCTGAAGTGATCATTGCTCCAAAGAGTCCTTCCCAGTAAATTTTACATAAAAAAATAAAAAAGGAGATTTATCTACATGACTATAAAATCCTCATGCTATTAAAAAATGAAAGTTTGATAAGAATCAAATTTTATTTTACATGTTATTTAAAAATAAAAATGTGGGCCACCTGGCGCTTTCCAGGCCTGAATCATCAGAGCACACAGATGACCCCCTCCAAGACTTTTTGGTCTAGGGTGTCACAAATCAACCAGATACCATCATACCAAGTGCTGCTCGAGGTCTCTAGTCCTGGGCATGGGAGAGAGGAAAAGCAACAGCTCCAAGCCATCCCCTATGACTGGGGCAGGCAGGACTCAAACAAGCATCACCTGTGACCCAACCGAGAGCCCTGGGGCCAGGCGGTTGGAGACCATTCTGGTAAGAGAGTACAGGATGGGGAGGCGGAAGGGATGGAGAGGCGGAATGGTTCATGGGCTGGGAAGAGGTGGATCTGGAGAGGTGAGGGTGGGAAGAGGTGGATCTGGAGAGATGAGGGTGGTGAGGAACAGGCTGACATAAATGGTCAGCTGGCCACAAGAGTCCAGGGAGATGTCCAGGCCTGGGCTATGACCGGATGTAGATGTAACTGTCTTGTTAAATAAGAAACACAGAGCCAATTGTAAAGTTAAAAAGCCCAAGAGGTCAGAGCAAAAGCTAAGAGCTAAAAACCTTACCCTTCACTGCCACTGCTGTCCTCCTCAGCAAGAGAACTACATCCTGTGTGTTTGTCCTTTTTATTGACTTTCTATTCTGCCTTCTCATTGGCTGTAAACCCAACCACATGACCTCCTCGTCACTGCCCATCTATACAGACCTCCAGGTCTTCTATGGTTGGTATTGAGATTAAAGGTGTGTGTCTCCATGCTGGGTGTATCCTTGAACACACAGAGATCTGCCTAGCTCTGCCTCCCAAGTGCTAGGATTAAAGGCATGCACCACCACCGCCCAGCTTCTGCTATGGCTTGCTATTAGCTCTGACCCCCAGGCAACTTTATTTATTAACATACAAATAAAATCACATTTCAGTACAAATAAAATATCACCATATTTCCCCTTTTCTGTTTTAATAAAAAGAAAAAAGGAAAAAAGTTATAACTAATATAAGAAAAACTATATTCAAAAGTACAATAACTATATACCATATATACAAGCAATAAATACCTAAACAATGTCTAGTCAATTTGTATTTGACAAGTTCAGAGAAAATAATTCCATTATCTATCCTATTTTGGTAAGTCCAAAATGTACCTAATTAACTTTCTATCCTAACTAATCTTCAACTATAACTAACTAATCTTTAATTATAACTAACTAATCTTCAACTCCCTCAGAGACCCAAGAAGGAACTAATATTACCTAACAAAGATAAAAACAGGAAGTCTTGGTCTGGGGCCCTGTAGGAGCAGAGAGGGCCTGTGTTGATGTCTATGGCTCCTGTTACCACTGAGGGGCATGTGGATGACCATGGTCTAGTCAGCCACCTCAGACCAAGTCAATGTCTGAGGCATGCTGCTGCCAGGGCCATACTGATCCAGGTGGCTGGTACTTCCACTTGGAGCTATGAAGACATCAGGACAGGGACTGCTGCCTAGGGCCATGTCTGGGTCTGTGATCCTGCAGTGCTGGGTGTCTAGGGTAGTGTCCATGACTCCCGTTACCACCAAAAGCTCTGCAGGTGCTCAGGGTCTGGTCAGTCACCTGAGACCATGTTGGTGCCCGAGGGCCATGCTGCCATGGGGCCCATATTGCTATGAGTGGCCTGTGCTGCCACCAGGGGCATGGTGATGTCAGAACTCAAGCTGCTGCCAAGGACCATGTCTGGGTCTATAGTCCTGATGCAACTGGGGTCTGTGGTGATGCTCATGGCCTGTGTTAGCACAGGGGTCATTAGAACCATGCTGTGCTGAGCCAGCCTCACCCTTTAGCTGGTACTGCCCCTCACTGGATACTGCAGAGGGCAAGCTGGTCCTACCCCTCAGGGGAGAGCTAGCCCCTCCCCTCCACTCAGGAAAGATGGCCCCACCCCTCACTCCAGGTGTGCACCTCACCTGGGCAGCACACTAGAGCTGACTGTTGTCAGGGGTGCAGGTAAGCCAGCCCTGAGGGTGTGAGAGCAAGAGAGCTGACGCCCCCCCTCCTCTTCGTGTGCCCATATTTCCCCTACAGCATTGGTAGAGAGGACCCTGTACCTTGCCTGGGCAAAACAGTAGGTCTGGCCCTGGTGATGTGAGGAGGACCTGGACCTGAGGACCTGAGAGCAGAACTGGCCCTGCACCTTACTGTAGGCTTCATTGGG